ATTTTAACTGCTATTCTCCATGATGAAATCATTGTAGTAACCGTGATATCCAATGTTAGGTATCTGAAACTTTTCTGGCACATCCGAATTTCGACTCCAGTTGTTTTCGAGGACTGGTTCCCTTTAGGCGATGGATTTGAATGAAGCCATCTGTGCCCCAGATACAAACACTAAATCGTCAAACCTTGCTTAATCATCAACATGCTGACGAACTTGTCTAAACACTCCGTATATATCTATCCCAATTAACTTGACCATACTGTATATGATTGCGCCACTTCTTCGTTACTGACAGCATCCTCATGGTAAAGAGATATGCGTGTTACGCGCTTTATATGTACATAAAGTCGGGTCATCCATTAAGCTAAATACTCTAGCGGTTAACATTTTAGCTCTTCAGTCTCGCAGAAATTTCGCCTGGGCGTTATTGGTGCGTCAGACGCATCGTCCGCGTGCATATCGCAATAGGGCCTACATACAGTCCACGCTCAAAACGTTCAAATTTACATAACACCCGTTTCTAACTTTGATGCTGTTTGTGTTCGATAGTACTTTTATCATTGGCTAGAGCGACACCTGCTTTTAAAAACAAGTCCAAGAAGCGCTGTATCACGTGCCATGGTAGGTGGAACACGATGAGCGGTTGAGGCTGGTTAAATCCACTTAAACGGCCGGCATACAAAGGCTGTTTCTTATCTAAAAAACGGTAAGCTGTTTGATGTTACTTCAGTTAAGTATCAGTACAGCTAGAAAATGATTCTGGTTGAAGTTACCTCTATGTTGCCCTCGTCAGTACTTCGCGTTTAGTTTTTGCGAAGGGGGGAAAGAAAGGATGACGGGTAGGGAGATCCAAAAGACTAACCAAAGTTTTCCATGCAAGGTCCTGATTAAAACAGGTTCGTGTTTTAGCTCTTTCTTTATATAACTGGAGCTGTATGTGTAGGAATGTGTGACTTATACGCATATCGTAATAAGGTTACCTATTTCTGTGTACATTATTGATTTCAACACTTGAAGAACTGCGAACAGACTGAAATACTTCAGAGGAATACAAAATGACGTCGTCGTATACCTTCATGCAAATGAGATACATTGTTGCATATCGGGAAAAACATTTTGAACCCACTTAGTATTTCAAATCAAATGCGCATTTCTGTTCGAAATTCTTTGCCCCTCTTAGACGCTGTCCACGTATTCTGGATTCTACGTCTGGTACTCCAAGCAGTCCCTCAAAGTGCCCAGGTATCCTAATCGAGAAACGTTTTTCTGCATCAATTGCCTATATGTGGCTTTATTTTCACTAACCAAGCAAAGATATATACAGGTAACGTAATTATTACAAATTATTAAGTTATTTTTGTTTCTAAATAACATAATTGAGAGTTGTAAGAGGTTCGTAATAGGTGCTGTTGAGGATAGTAAACAACATCTATAGGCATAAGATCGCTAAACCGATTTTTTCTTTCAACGTATACCAAACTGTAGCAGCATCAATAAACAATACCACATCTAGCCACTGTCCGTATAGCGAGGGTTTCATCATGCGTTGTAACGAAAGCTTCGGGTCGCAATTGCCACTGGTTTATGAATGTTGATATTGTTCTTTTTAAGCAGGCTTATTTGATATTTCACTATTTTTTTGCGAACGCATGCTTCTATCATACATTGCGTGAGTTTCATGTCGCTTTTTGAAGGCGTAAAAGTTCGATAATTGATTTCATCAGTAAATCAACTGTTCGCAGGTCGATTGCCCACAAGCCTAGACTATCGACCGGTGACAAGTTACCACTACCGGCTAAGGTTTCAAATATGAGGGGACATCGAGTGTATCCGTGTCTAAGGGTAACGTGGCACTGTCTTCGCCAAAGCTTCGTCAAAGGACGACGACTTTACCGCTTCGCTAGAGAGTGTACATATATAAACCAAAGAGAGGTTGACGACGGAGTTGTAGGCGACGACGCCGTAGAGGGCTCTTCGTAGTTCGTAGTGTATTACTTCCTTACACCGTCACCCTCAGCGCTTTCCCCGGACAGTTCCCCGTTTCCCAGACCATTCATTCCCCATCAATAGCATCATACAAGAAGCAAACCACATCACCGTGAGCGGGTCGGCAGGCCCTGTTCCTTCGGCAAGTCCTAACGAAGGCGCCTTTTTCCGTTTCATATAGACCCGCCGAGATATAGGTAGGACGGACCGGCCTTGAGAGGCAGGACGGAAGGAGACGCACTTTCTCGGTGCACATTGCCACCCAAAGGCCGTTCCACCAAGGATGACGTACGAAGGCGCCAAGATCCGGAGCGGCCCTCCCGTCCTTTCAAGGCGACATAAGTATCATTGATAGCAGAGCTTGGGTGTGGAGACTGAATAAGGCTAAGCCGTAATATTGACCAATGAGCTGCTGAAGAAGAACACTCTGACCATAGATGTCAACAGCAAGGTTGTTCGCCAAAGACTGAACAGGAGAGAGCGGGGGGGGGGAGAAAAGGCACTGTTCGACTGTGCATCCGAAGTTGGGATTTCGGCCAAGAACTCTTCCTAATGAGGGTTAGCTGGCAATGGTGTCCTTGATTTACCAATAGTAATGGCAGCACAGAACAGGCCGATATTTTGATGGACTGGTATGGGTCGACACATGTAAAAATACAAAATGAGATAGTGAGATTTGGAAACGATGTGAATTTTTTTAATCGAAGGTAGCTGTAGATATTTGAAAATCACAACTGTGTGATTTATTTAGTTTAATTGTTAGTAGTAATAGACATAATTTTTACCGGAATTCCACACAGGCTCTAAAAAAATAGAAACGCACGGACCAAGCAGATAAAAAAAAAAACCTATGATCTCAAAAAAAACAAAATGGTAAAAAAAGATCGAAAGACGCTAAAGGTTTGAGCGTGTCTACGTAGATATTTATGCACAGAGATTTTAAAATCCCATAACTTCTTGTGCAGCTTCTTATTTAATACAGCTTCAGTTTTCTAAAATTTTTTCCTCATTTTAGATTTCTACCGTTGACGTATGCGTGTCTTGATTGGGTTTTTTGGAAAGTTTTAATGGCTCCCAGCTGCAGAAACCATCATCAGATATTAACTTGCAACCAAATTGCGATGCGTCCGACGCGGGCACACTTTCGATTAAAATAATCACTGGTCTAATGATAAAGGAACGCTAAACTTACACACGCTGAAGTATGCAGACAAACAATTATATAAAAATAGAGCAATTTGTCATAAAGCCGTTTGGTATACGATGCGTGATCATCTACACAATAAAATCCACTGCTTACATAATTTCTAAAAATGGATTTGAAATTTGACTTGTTTTGTCGATCCATACTCATACCCAACGTTGCTTGGCTGTACGACTTTACGTAAAAATAGGTATATAGATACAAAAAATCATAAACTTCAGAGGAAAACAATGGTAGACCTTTTTAGCATTCACCTAACTGAATTTCATTTGGGTTCTCTATTTATGCGGACTTATGGGATTTGTATCGACACACATATGAAAGAACCGCTGTAAAATAGAAACGAAATCATATTTACTAATGACAAAATGTATCTCTTGAAGCAAATCCATAAGAGAAGCGTAAGATCCAAATATCATAAAGAGTGTAATATGTTTACTTACCATAGACATACAGAGTACTAAAACGGGAGGCCACTCGTTTTCGTTCATCATATAATAGGCCTTTTCCGTTATGCTCAAACAACAACGTTGAGGCGATGAGTAACACATTTGGGTGCTGCCAAGTGTAGCTATATTTGAAATTGCTAATATCTTTTAGACGTTTCTACGACCTATTGCCTTTGTCGTATTACCCGTATTACGTCAAAGGCGAGGAGCGCCTGGAACACAAATACTAACATTGGGAAGGCAGTAGAAAAACCCCACGAAATGGCAATTTCCGCCCGATCCACTTCTAGCACTACGAGCTCTTCGTAGCGTTCCTATTTTTCTTGTACGGACGTTACCCCTAAAACTAAGCGTACCAGTGGGTTTTAAGGTTCTGTAGGTTGAAATGGTTGTTTTCGGCCCCAAATCAGCTAACAAAATCGCGTAAAGTTAGTGCGGTCTGCCTGCGCCCATAGACGGAGCGCTCGATTTCAAATGACGATGTACATCTTTGAGTGTGGTCGAGCGTAACGGCAAGTATAGAACCATTTCTAAAATTAACGCATCTCTCCAATGCATTCTGCAGCTCAATCAAGATTATAATTCCAGATCGAGTCCGAACATTTGTTCAGATACATTCTATACATTGATGTATTTTATGATCTGTTGTAAGAACATAAAAAAACATTAAGTATAACGCGACTACTTTGCTTATAGCAGACAGGCATGTTGAAAAAGCTCATCGAACATCTAGGAAATAAATTATTTCTATTACTTTTACTGAAATGTCGATTGCCAATACATATTTAACTTATGTCATTTGTCCATATAACCGAAGCATATACACAGGAAGGACACACCATCACCATTATACATCACGCTCTTCGAAAAGTCATCTTTGAATTTTCTGGCCAATTACTGCTTGGACAAATGATCGAAATGCCTGAATGCTTATTTTGGCGCCTATATTCCTACATAACTCACAGAAAGTCTGACTAAGAGGCGCCATATAGCTAAAAGGTAGCAGGACGAATTCAGATATCAAAAGCGGATACGAACTTAGTGTTCAGTACTAAATTGTAAATGTACAGCTATCTTTTATTTACATCATATGCCCTGCGTACACATTCTTTTCTATCGACTATTAAACGACCAATTCTATTGGAATTATAATAGTTTCTGCGGTACCCGATCATCAAGCAGAAAATGTTCTTCATTCAAATGTCTGCTGCATTCAGGGCCTCTGGAGAGCAAAATGTCAGACGTCCGAACTCCAATTCTTTGCCACTTTATAAATAAAAAGCTATGTCCAAATGAAATGTTCTCTCAGCAGATATTCAGCGAGTTTAATTCCGTTTCTAATTCTGTTTGCATTAGTTAATCACCTAATGGCAAGACGATATCTCTCACTGCACCACGCTCCTGACCTTTTGTCATTCGCGGGCCAATATTATGTCTCAGTCGTGTCATCCGGCAGAAGTCCTGCGTAAAAATCAAACATCAATATTTACGTGTGTAGCAGACGATTGTCCGTCTTTGAGTCCGGCCTGTTTACCACCGCTGCACTCTGTGCATGAACTTTTGTGAGACGAAGTTGGAGGGCACGGGAAACCGAACAGGAGGAAAAAAACATCTGATGTTCACCTGTCTTCGTCCATGTACCCGCTCTGTCCACTGTGTGCATGCTGTGACATCATGGTATGAGGAGCGGCAGCTGCAAAAAGGTTTCAACCGGGGGCGGGTTTCGAGGCAAAACTGGCACAAGATGGAAACGTGCGCGTGGACAAACAGCCACGTCTGCGACTGACGTGGCCACCTGCGATCATCGATCAAAAAGATTTAGAAGGAATTCATCACATGCACCTTCTTCTGCCACCGACCGGTCCATTTTTAATGGAGCTGCACGATTGCGTCGTCCTCTATATCTCCGGAGACTCTTTTTCTTTCTCGTGCTGTTGCTTGGGGAAGCCATTGTGAGTTCAGTGTTTTCGTGTTGGATGAACGTTGCACCTACTGTATCCTCTCAAACCCCTTCTCCACTACGTGAAAAGCCTCTGCTGCACTGTGTCTATACCGGCGTATCATGGTGTAGTAGCGTAGCGTTGTTAAATCTTTTTCATCAGCGCTGCCCTCTGCTGTCTAATCGGCTGACCGTCTGAAATAAACATTTCTTTTTTTTTAAAGAGGAAAAAAATAAACGGAAAGCTGAAACAAGAAGCTCGTAAGAAAAGACGAGGACAGGGTGAGTGAAAATCCATTACTTTTAGAGGACCAGCTGTGGGTACGGCGAGGGACAGTCAGAATCAGGATTTCACTGCTACTAGAAAAGAAAAAATTGACGACAAAACTGGGTCCTACTGGTCTGATGTAGATGCTGCAGCTGTCGGTGCGACTTGCGCCGATGGTGAGATAAGAACGGCCTGCCGTAGGCAAACTGGGCTGGACCACCAAACTGGACGGCTCAACACGACAGGACGTTTTGCCTACCTCTAGCTGTAGTAACAGCATCTGCCCGATTGTTTTTTTATTTTCCTCTTTAACGCTCGATATACGTTCAGGCATACCATGGACGTAGGTTGACAATAGGACGTCACACCTAGAAGTAATACTCAGATGAGCTTGCGTCGAGGGGGAACGCAATTTACAGGTATCGCGCCCGGGACGCCGGGCGGAGGCTCTCGTTACTTGCTGGATAATTTTCATGAACGTACGACTCCTGACGGCCTGACTAGATTACGTAATGAACTGGGCAGTGTAAACTGTGTTTTCTTCCTGTTATCTATAGCTAATTTGAAATGCTCAGCCAATGAAGGCGGGAAACAGTCTGCTAAAATATCGCGTAGATTTAAACCCAAAAATATTCATTGCTGACGCAGTAAGAATTTTTTTTAAATTTTACGGGATTTCACTTAGAATTTACATTTACAGGGTTTTGTATGATTGTAGGGAAACAGATACGTCTAATTGTATTGAATCTATGTACTTTACTGTTGTATTACGGGCATGCTCATTTTTCCACGTAATACATAGAGGCCTAATTTCTATCATTAGTTAATCAGCTTGGCGCACCTCGCTGCCGTTAAAACCAGGTTAGTAAATAAGTCTATATAATGTTATTTTTTTTTAATAGATAGCAGAGTTCCGAAGTCGTTCGTATTGTCTCCCAAACTCGTGTCACAAATTATGATATACAAAAAATATCGACCTTTTCTTATGACCGCTGCAATAGTGTCTGCTTGATAAATACAAAAAGCTAAAGATCTTGCTAGGTGTGCTCTCATAGCAAGCGCCTTCAGGAACTATCTAGCCATTTTAAGATGAACACATTAATCCTTGTAAGTAGTGTTTTAAAGTTTGGAATCACTAGCAGCTATTCTGAGAACTAAGTATACAGAAGGGATACTTGAAACAAAAAAGCTATTTTTTCCCATGTGATATCGCGCCTCTCGATAATATCAGCTCTATGGTTGAATACAAATGCGTTCTAATCTATGGTTCATAGAAACATACATAAGTCATACGATCCATATACGGCTGTCATTTAATTTTCCAGTGTTCCACTCTTGAACAGAACGTCCAGAAAAAAACATCCCAAGTACACTGATCTTTATATGACCTTCCTTTTCAGATGACTAAAGACCGACTAACAAGAATATAATAATATGGAAACGTGTTATTATGAAAAACTTGAATCCATATTCCTTATGTGAGCTTACTTTCTCTAGCTTGCGGGTTTCACTGCAGTTCTAGGCTAATTTGTCGTAACGAGAAGTGAGTGGCACAATGATCGTCCTCCCTTGCCACAATGAAGCGGATGGTCGACAAACTGTTTATTTCTGCCGTTCGTGGTTGTTGAAGCAACTAGTCAAATGGAAGACTTTAATTCAGCTGGCGGCCACATCCCAAGAACCTTTAAAACCATCTGCTGTACGATTAAGTTAAAGGCGTTCCCTTTTAACAAAAAATGAAGAACAACTAAAGAACAGCTTACATTTTCGTTATGTGACGTACGCAAGCGACCTGAGAAAGCTCAAAACTTACCTATTAAAGGCAACGACCATCTACCTTCGCACATATCGCCCATTAAGCTTGTAAGAGAAAATAAAATTTTTGATCGTTAATTTCTGTTTTTCAACATAAGCAGTTGCATAACATACGTAAGAGAGACAAAGATGATTTATTTTTCTTATTTGTATTCCACAGTAATGTGAAAACTGTGTAAAGTCACGAAAAAAAAGTGACGAAATTAGCTAAAGTTTGAATATTTTCATTAGAAAGATCGTGATCATTGAACGTCCATATTTTAGCATTTAATTTATGATTTCATTCAACCCCTTGTGGCCCGAAGGCGTCTTCACAGCCAACGAAGCTGAAGGGGCATTAAGGGGAAGACGTATCTCGCGCGCGTTTAGACATTAAAAAATACAGTGACACGCAGCGAGCATTTTTCATTTATCACAGATTGTGATCGATATTTTAGGTGCTAAGAACGTGGCGAAACAATGTCTCCGTCCATTATCCTACTACAGAGATACAAAACAGTAACATTTTATATTGCATTTAGCTGCAAGTGATATCTGTGCGTAACATAAAGGCCTCTACAGTTGGCTGTATTAAATGACAATTCATGAGTGCATACACTAAACTCAACTGACATGAAATTTGTGCAGGTGATTTTCTTAAGGACCAGAGAAGGTCGTCAAGGCCGATGGGAAGATATTAGTGAAGGATAAATTATATATGTACCTAGAAAGGACGCTACGCTAAAGCCATAGCTACCGATTGAAACAGGAGGTCGGCTGAAACATTTAGGTAATTGGGTACGCGTGTCTAGCACGTTTAAATTTAGATGTTTCGAGTTCTACGTCCGTGACTTAAGTGTTTAAGCGATGGTTCAGATGGCGAGCTCCTAGCATAAAACGAAACGTGTTTATTCCAGGATTCGAACCAAATTCATCACGAATCTATAAGTCTTCGATGCAAACTCGCAGTCACTGCACTATCGGACTCGCCGATCTAGTGTATCTGATGAGGTGTCCAAAGTCCACTGAAAATCGTATCAGTATTATGTTATACATGCGGAAAACAATAACCAAAGGGGTGTCGAAAAAAAAAAAAAGTACTTCCGCAACACCGAAGATGGAATATAGAGCTGCATTTATTCACAGACGAGTTGCACCAATTATGATTCAAGGGGCATATTGTCAATAATCGAAAACCTTGCTGGTAAATCGTTGCATCACAAGAGAACTACGAAACTGAACAAACGAACGAATATGGGTTCTGTTATAGAAGAGCCACACCTACATGAATAGAACAGAGTAGTACAGAACAATAAGCATCGAAGCTGCCTAGAGCTACAAAGTAACAGAAAAGCCTTGCGGTTACCTTGCAAACAGCAGTAATGTGGACCATACGATTCTGACCAGAATGGCGCACGTTTATAGGAGTGACAGGAGAAGTGCCTCTCTGGTGACTCTAGTGGGTTCAGAAGTCCTCCGCGCCCGCTAGTCCCATTGACGCCTTGAACATATCATGTGAGTAGGCTGTATAGGATGCAAGACGGATTCAGAGACATTCATGAAAATACAGAGAGAAGGCTGTTTTCGGCATTGTGATCTATATAAGTGAACGTCAAGTAATGCTAGTGGCCAATTAACGTTACACTAAAAACAGCAAACCATAAAAAATCTCGTGGATTTTAAACGGACTGGATAAACGAAGCCATATTATGCTATTGGTATTTTTTTTGCTTTTCGATTGAAAGTATTTGTGTTGACTGTTCTTTTAAATTCACGACACTCGGTAAAAACTATGCAAAATAATGGGTTTCCCATGTACCCGTTGCTTGAATGTATTTATCTCTTTAAAATATTTACGGCTTCGTAAAGCATTTCGAGCTCAGAGTCAGAGACGTTAAAATGATTGAAAAATATCTAGGAGTGGCCCATGTCAGCCAGTGTTCATAGAGTCCTTATACATAGGTTACACACAGCAGGAACAAACCACATTTAGACGCCAGATCCCGTAGCACATAAGTCAGTATCTACAGCCATAGACAAACAAAACCCACTAATCTTAGCACCTAATGCTACACGAACCGAGAAAACGCTCTAAACGCTCTCATGAATTGCGAAATTGAAACTCTCTAAAACCAGTCTCTCTCTTAGGGAACAGCATTTCAACTCGACAGAAACTCCCAGAAAAGAAAACCTTTGTGGAAGAATTGTCCTCATACGACCCTTTCGTTTAAGGGACCTGCCGTGTGGTAGGCCTTGCAGCAGCCATTGGAACTTGCCCGATGAATCAGAACGTGTGCTCACGGCTATCGTAAGTAATGGTGTTTTTTTTTTGAGTAAATCCCTTTAGCGAACGACCGATGATTTTCTGCTTCAACTACGAAAGTGTAGTAGATTTCGAACACATACGTAACGGTTCTGGCACGGTATACGTTCGTCTGGCGTCTTGCTTTTTACTCCGCGGTTGCAATATAGAAAAAGAAATCTAACTTGGGACTGGCGCGATTGCCCGATCTTCCAAAAAGTGACAAACACCTCTTTTTTTCTATTGGTAAAATCTACATAAAGGCGTTATCACACCGTAGGGCTAAACACCTATGCTCAGACTTGGATAACGCTAGTTTCTGGTTTATGTTGTCTATTTTAAGTTTCCATCACCACATTTAGATCTGATAAAAAAACAAAGAACAGGTAGACAAAAACCGTGGTGGTAGGAGCTGGACATAATTGGGATAATGAAGGTTTCGGTCCTTCTGGTCAAATCAGTAAGCAGAAAGTTGATTCAAATTGGTCATTTGAATTGATTAGAGCACTACACAAATACCATTAGCGAGTGAATGTTAAGAGTTGCCTGAGAGTCCATCTCCTATCCCAAAAAAAGCTTGCAATCTGACTACGCTCGTTGCTGTTGGCAGCCATAGTACCTCGTAACCTGTTGCGGGAGAGAGGGGTGGGTTGAAGACGATGTTTTCAAAAGCCTTATTGTTTGTTCTTGTCCATAAGCTGGCACGCTGAAATCTTCATATTATCCCGTATGTAAACTGTGTCAGCGCACGAGCCTATTAATAAGACCGTACGAACCGTCAACCTAGTAACGAGTAAAGAATAGGTATGCAAATAGATGTGTTACTTGAAAACCAGTCGACATGACCTACTATCAAAATGTACCTATTTCACAAGTCAATAGGAATTTCGCTTGTTTTGACTAGCGTTGATGGTCAGGTGCCTCACGAGCACATGTACACCTGTACGACGTATCATATCGCGTCTACACCTGGAAAGGCAATCTGATACAAATGGCAGTTAAGGAGAGCAGTAAGTTGAATATGTCCAGGTTTCTAAAAAAGGAAATAATTTACATAGTTTCAAATGGCATCTAAATCTTACTTTTTCGAGGCAACGCGGTTTGTACATATGTATATGTGTGTGTTCCCGCACCAGTGTTGTTTAAAGCGACGTAAAATACAACTGAGTTTTAAGGCAGTGCGGCCGAGAACAAAACAAACGACGTTTGTTATGTGTACATAGGGACATATTTGTTTAGCAGTTACCGTGTAACTATACTCGAAAATTATGGTAAGTGTAGCACGACTAACTTTCTAATACTAGAATTAGTAGCTGTAGCAAATTGATTCCGGTTCAACATTGGAGCAAATTATGCGCAGTAAATACACGTCGCTTATAACAGGAAGCAAAAAAAGCGATCTCTTCATATGTTTGGAGCGGGTTTAAGTAGTATTTTTACGTATTAAGTGGGTACCATGAGGTTTTGGGTCGAGTGAAAGTCAGTCCCGGGAAGTTGGACTTCCCTCTGCCAATACCACTAACCTTAGAGACACTCTCGCCATTACCAATTCAAGTGTTCATTCAACACCACTACGACCTTATAAAAGGTAGCAATCTGTACCACCGGATCCGTCGGTGATTAGCTCATTTTGAATGGACTGCTTGAATTCTCAAACACATTCCTTGTTGCAGCTGAGCCCTTGACCACGCTGGATTTGAAACATTAAGCCGTATTTTCAAAAAGTGGTTTCGGCGTCCGCTGCGCTCGGGGTCGGTTCGTTGGCCCTGTATTCTCCACTGAGTCCACGCCGTCTATTCTCTCTCCTTTCCTCTTCTTGTCCGATATATATATTTATGGGCGTCCTTTCGAGGGCTTTACAACTACGAGGAGTTAAGAAAGGAAACTACATTGAGACTCTGGCGGACCCTAGCGGACCTGCCGTCTGAGGGATTACATCAAAGGATTACCACCATTAAAGAGGCTGGTTAGAGCGAGTGGTACCAGAGCGAGCATGTATAACGATCTATAGGACAGACACTTGCCATTTGTTTCCATCTATCACTTTGCCAACTGATTTAGTCGCTCGAATAGGCAAGAGGTGCACTCTATTCTCCTTACCTAATAGGGATCTTTGTCTGGAAAGCCCCAGGGGCAGATTAAACAATTCACAGTACTTGTCAAGGAAGAGGTGTAAGCAGCACCCGACACTGATCAACACAACAAACGAGAGAGGAAATTAACACTAAACAGATAATGAAAACAGGGATCAGAGAATGACACCTAATAAACTTTGAAATGATTCGGATTCACAGCGCTGGTTGGTAGAGGGGATGGCAGCCACTGATAAGTGGCGCTGTTGATATCTATATACGTA